AGAGAGACAGAAAGCGAGAAATCACCCCCCAGGGGGGATGGTCACGCCGCAATCCCTTCTCCTCCATTCTCCTCTTGGGATCTTGGGCATGCACGCACACGTGCCCGGCGTGAGTTTTAAGCCACCAGGTCCAGGATGTGAACCACGGTCGACTACGTGGGAGTCCAGCGACATAGCCATTACGCTAACTGCTGGTCCTGTGACTTTTTTTTTTTTTTTTACTTGCTAGAGGACTTGCGTATCTGCCAGAGAGAGAGAAAGGGAGAAGGCAAAATCATCCTCCAGTGAGGCATGGTCACACCACAGGGAGTCCCTTCTCCATTTCTCCATCCCACTGAAATCTTGGATACTCACAAACAGGTGCTTAGAGTGTATTTCAAGCCACCAGGCTGAAATTGCAACTGCAGTCCACTCTGTGGGATCTGGCGCTCCACCGTGTGGGATCTGGCACTATTAAGCACCAGGCTGTGGGGCCCACTCATTTCTGACTTTGTTTTTAGGGTATGAGAGAGAGAAAGTGAGAAATCGGTCCCAGGGGAATGGCCACAACCCCTTCTCCATTCTCCTCTCGGGATTCTGACACACACCTGTGTCCATCATGCTTTTCCAGCTGTGGGTATGGGGCTCAAACCATGCTGTCGGCCATGTGGCATCCAACACCTTAACCTCCTGCCACCTGCAAGCCCCAATTTGTGACTTTTAAAATGATCATTTCAGGGACCCGCAGATGGCATAATGGTTACCTCACTGGACTCCCATGTGGCCGACTGTGGTTTCCCGGACCCGGAGGCTTGCGACACGTGCCAATGCATGTGCCTGCATGCCCAAGATCCCAAGAGGGGAATGGAGGAAAGGGAATGGAGAGGCAGGACCAGCCCCCGGGGGAAACTTCTCTTCTTTTTTTTTTTTTTGCTACAGGGCACGTGTGCTCGCCAGACAGACAGAGACAGAGAGACAGAAAGCAAGAAATCACCCCCCAGGGGGGATGGCCATGCCACACTCCCTTCTCCTCCATTCTCCTCTTGGGATCTTGGGCACGCACGCACACACGCCCGGTGTGAGTTTAAGCCACTGGGTCTGGGACTCGAACCGCAGTCGACTACATGGGAGTCCAGCGACATAGCCATTATGTTAACTGTTGGTCCCAAACTTCTCATTTTTCATCTCTCTGTCTCTCTCCATCTCTCTGGAGAGTGCACATGCCCTATAGCAAAAAAAATTCCTCTCAAAAATTAAAAAAGAAAAAATAGTGATTCCATGTGATTCAACCCAACAGAAGGAAATTGTTTGAAAAAAATACAAAGGGGCTGCTTTTGAGATAAAAAAAAATTCCTATTCTTTGACCCCAACTATATATCCAAAACATGGACATAAATTTATATACAAACTGTTCAGTAAATCAAAGCTTGAAAAAAATTTAAATGCTTATAAATGAGGAAGTCGATGGAATATTTACATTTTAACTGATATTTGGAAAACCTTTAAGTGACATGGCACGATTAATGCTGAATGAAGAGAAGCGAGATACATGATTCTATAGATGTGTAAATGACATGTATACCATAAATACATACATGTTTTCTCCATTGTAAAATTGTGCACTGAAAATAGGGAAAAAGGCCCAGCCAGGTGGAGCAGTCAGCAGCAAACCAGCTACATGCTGGGAGCATGAGGCCGCCGCAGACCTGGAGCATGGGGTCAGCCTGAAAACCACGTACACTGAAAAGCAGACAGGCCTGGTCTCTGAGGCAGGGCGCCGCACGGGAAGCACGTGGGCTGGAACGCTGAAGCTCCGGCTCCCTCTCCCCGAGGAGGCCGGGCAGCTGCGTGACCCCTGGAGCCTGTCAGCTCCACCTCGCACTGGAGAGAGCCAGATGAGAAAGGGCAGGGAGGGGTCGGAGCTCAGTAGCTGCTCACTAAACAGGGGTTGATACTGTTCTTATCATCACAGTGTCATCGTGGGCTTAGGTTGCTGCTTCATTATTCTCTCCTTAATTTTCCAGAGGACTTATGCACTCACCAGATAGAGGTGGAGGGAGGGAGGGAAAGGGAGGAAGCACCCCGCCCCCAGTGAATGTGGTCATGCTGCAATCCCTTCTCCATTTCTCCACCCTGTCAGAATTTCGGGCATACATGCACACGTATCCAGTGTGTTTTTCAAGCCACCAGGTCTGAGACTCAAGCTCAGCAGTCAACTACATGGAATTTGGCTCCCCTGAGCCCCAGGCCACAGGGTAAGCCTTCTTTCGTTATATTTTCCAAAATTTCCACAAGGAATATGCCTTTCTTTCATAAAAGGTGTAATCATTAGAAATAGTGAGGGTCGGGACCGGCAGGTGGTATAATGGCTGTGTCACTGGGCTCCCATGTAGTTGACCACAGTTCGAGTCTTGGACCCGGTGGTTTAAACTCACGCCGGGCACGTGTGTGTGTGTGTGCCCAAGATCCCAAGAGGAGAATGGAGGAGAAGGGATTGCAGTGTGGCTCCCCCTCACTTCCTGTCTCTCTGTCTCTCTGTCTTTCTGTATAGTGCACGTGCCCTGTAGCCAGAACCTCTCCAAAACAAGGAAGAGAAAGCATGAGGTCACATAAGCAAAGAGCAGAGACAAGTCACAGCCCAGGAGGCCGTCTTCGTCCCCTCCATGCCAGCCAGGACTGGGACCCTTTAGGTAACCAGCCGACGGGACACGCGAGTGCTCGCCCTTCCTAGGTTCAGGCTGGCAGGAGTTGAGGTGTCTGACAGCAGCAAGGGCTGGCAGTGATGTGGAGTGTCAGGAACCCTCAGGTCCTGCCGGTGGGCGTGAACATGGTCACAGCCACCTGGAGCACGCTGGTTGGCTCGGGGGTGCTGAACCCCAGCAATCCTGCCACGACGCCCGCTGTGCACAGGGAGGCCCGCTGCGCACAGGGAGGCTCAGAGGCCGCCTGGAGCTTTGCCTGTGATGCAGGAAAGGGAGTGGCTTCACGCTCTCTAACAGAGGAGGGCACTGCATGGGCCAGTTCAGGTACATATTCGTACATGCAGGGCCAGCCGGTGGCGTGGGGGTCAAGGCGCTCATCAGGCCCTGACGGCTTGAAAATCATGCCAGGTGCACATGAACATGTGCCCAAGTTCCGAGAAGAGAATGGAGAAGGGACGTGGCGTGGTCATCCCCCTGGGGGACGTGGTCATCCCCTGGGGGGGTGATTTCCTGCACTCCCTCCCCCTCACCAGTCTGGTGAGCAAATGCACCCTACAGCAAAGTAAATATATATGTGGGTATATATACATACGCTCAATGAAAGACTACTTGTACAATAGCTCAAGCGGGTGAACGGAAGCCAGTGGTTTAACGCGGGTAAGTCAGACACGGAGCACTAAGGCAGGAAAGTGAAGTATGGGACACAGCGGCTGACGTAATCGCGCTGACACGAAGCTCACAGGCCCTCCGCGCAGCAGGCCGCCCTGTCCTGGCACACCCACGGACACGGCTCAGACGAGGACGATCACACCGACCAGGTGCAGGGCCTGGGAGCCCGCAGTCGGGAGTTCACAGACCAGCTGGCTGCTCCCAGCTGGGGGCCTGTGGACACCTAACGCCTCGTACCGGTGCCCTCTTCTATACACTGGGGCGTCGAGAACTCCCACCTCATGGTGGCATCAAAATGACCATGTGAGCTGACGCGGACGCACGGGGCCAAGAGCAGCAGCTGGCCGCGGACAGCACTCCATCGTGTTTGCTGCTGCTGGGGACCTCAAACCTTTCATTGTTTTCTTTCCTTCTTTCTTTCTTTCTTTCTTTCTTTCTTTCTTTCTTTCTTTCTTTCTTTCTTTCTTTCTTTCTTTCTTTCTTTTTTAATAGGGCATAGACACTTGCCAGAGACAGCAAGAGAGAGAGAGTGAGAAGTCACCCCCAGGGAGGATGGCCACACTGCAATCCCTTCGCCTCCACTCTCCTCTCAGGATTTTGGGCACCCATACACACCCGCCTGGCATTATTTTCAAGTCACCGGGTCCAGGACTCGAACTACACAGTCTGCCACATGGGATCCAGCAGCCTTAACCTCGACACCATCTGCTGGCCCAAAGCTCAGATCGTAAAAATGTCTGTGCCATTTGTGCCCCTAAGCTCATGCTAGGAACTTGCCCTGGGTCAGTGACCTAGGACAGGTGGCCGTGGGTGTCGGTCTTGTCGCTGCACGTAAAAGCCGCAGTCAAAGGCGGCCTGACTTGGCTAACCGGACGGGTGACTGGATTCCAGCGTGTCTGTCGTGGCTTTGCTGCTGCATCGCTTCTATTCCCGAGTTTGTTTCATGCCCGCCCTCCCCCCACCAGAAGCAGGCGCAAGGCACCTGTTTTTTTTGAGCACGGACACAGGCGCTGGTGAGACCGGTGTAACGGTCGGTGGCAGCACGGACCCATTTGTGCTTAGGGGTGACAAGCAACCTCAAAATAAGCAGCTCGTGCAGTCAAAGAGACCATCCCAGGAAGGAGTGCGAGCCCTGTGGTTAGCTGCTCACCCTCCTGCAGGAAGCCCTCCCTGACTTTCTGTGGGGGACCTTTCCTCCCACCGAGCACTTGTCTGTGAGAGCCCAGCAGCTCTGGCTCACGTCTTCCTGGGCTTTGCCAGTACTCAGCCTGGGGTCTAGCACATCAGGAGCCTCCACTCTCTGGACCCCAGATCATCTCCTGCAATCTCAGAGTCCCAGAATGCCAAAACTATCAGACAAAAGCAAACTTCCAAACTTCTTTGAAAATAAAACTTAACTAAAACTTTCCAGTGAAGTAAAATATAGACATTCACTTTCTAATACTCCGTGTAGAATTTATACTGATTTTTCATTTAAAATCAGCTAATTGCATGAAGTGATTGCCAATTTACCTGACGTGGTTTTAATCAATTATCCATTTTGTGAAAAGTAATTTTAGCTCACTTCACAAAGGGATGCTTATTTGCCGCGACCCCTTACCTCTTCAAGAAAGCCGCCGAAGTTCTGGAGGAAGTACTTCCAGTGTATATAGGGGGTTAGGTGAATCCTCAGTTTCCTCAGGAAATAATGGTACTGATTATCTGTCAGTCTGCAACAGAAATCCTTCAGAACTTGTCCAAATTCTGTGGCCTTCACAAACCCCGTGTCTTCCTTATCCAATGCGGAAAATGCCTAACAATGAGAGGAAAGAAAGGGTGGCAAATGCTCCCGGCCAGGGAATATTCCACAGATACTCCGATGCTGAATGCCAATGAAGCCGCGCGCACGGAGGTCCCTCGCCGAGTCCCGAGGACGGCACGCACTCTGTTACCAAAGCCCAGCCAGCCACGCACGTGCTGTGAGAGCCCCTGGGTCCCAGCGGAGACACCCGGTGTGCTGCTAGGCGTCCCGGCCCCAGGTGGCCTCAGCGTAAGGGAAGCCTCACCCGCAGCCCGGCCCCTTTACACAGAGGAAAGGACAGCAACTCCTCAAGGGCTCTCTGCATGAAATTCCAGTCCCCTAAAGTGTCAAGTAGTTGTGACAGGAGGCTCAGGAAGGAGCCCACCACAGACGAGCAGGGGTCTCCAGGCAGGAGTCTGACTGTGGGAGTGCAAAGGGGCTGGGGGTGGGGGCATCCCCGCAGCGAGGTGTTCAGACTGAGGCGGCTGTCCTGCCCTGACCCTGGCCAGAGCTCGCGGCCTTGCATCGTGGGCAGGCCCCCACTGCCCAGCGCTTGTGCTGGAGGGCCTGGGGCGCCCCTAGCAAAGCCAGCAGTACAGTAGTCAAGCTGAAAAAGTGCAAAAATGTGCCATGAAAACACAACTTTTTCCATCTGTCAGAACCAAATCATTCGTTGTCATTGCACTAGGAAATCTGCATCAAGTCGTAGAGGACTTTTTAAAGTAAGAATTTAATGAGTCTGTAAACCCCAAACCAAATTCCCTTGAGGTTAATTCCCATTCGGGGCTAACTGGGCACACCCCATCGGCCCACTGAGATGGGGTGGACGTGGGACCAAATCAACCTCGTACAGCTGCAAACTGTGGCTTACCCGTGGTAACGGGGTGGCCAGCGGCGGCGTACGGTAGGAAACACCTGGGCCACGATCAGGGTGGGTCTTGGAACCGGGTTCTGTGGCCCACTGTGGGTCCTCACCTCTCTGAATGTCAGCTTCCTCCCTGCTCTCCTGGGCCTCCTGGAGATGGCACCTCTCAGGGACCTGCACACCGTGGGGCTCAACCAACGTCCGACGATCACAAAAGCAGTGACTGAGCTTGCTGCCGTGAGGGGCGCAGCTCGCTGTGCAGCCAGAGGATGTTGGTGACGCTCAGGCCGCCTAAGAGGGGACCCTGGGCCTCGTTCCCCCTTGCCATAGGGCCCACATGTAACCCACCTGCCGCGCTAAAGGAAGGTGAAAGGATCAAACAGGGAAAGCTGAGAAAGCCCACAGCACCGTACAGCTGGGCACCACTCTGTCCTCGCAGACGCAGGGTGCGTGGGAGACACCACCAAGGGCACGAGCAAGCGTGTCCTCTCTGGCGGCAGGCCTCCTAACCCCATCGCCGTCCCCCTCTCCCCACCGCCCCTCCAATTCACCATCCGCTCTCTTGGTCAGGGAGTCACATGCCCTCGCTCGGAACCTCCTTGCCTAAGGAGCATCTCTCAAAGCCAGAAGCACGAGTGTCCCCGAAGGTTCCCCGGACCGTCTGAGAAACACCCTGACAGCTGTCCGGGTGCAACTCTGGGTTAGAGCGCGGCTCGCTGCGCTGCAGATCCGTCTATTTGGTCTGCCCGGCGCTTCTGAAAAACTGGTGTGCTGAAATGTAGAGACCAGACTTCCGAGCATCCCCTGCAAAGAGGCCAGACTTAGCGGTGCCGGCTGGCCTGGCAGCTCAGCAGGGCCGGGCTGTGGACAGCCGCTGCAGTCGGGGTGTCCTGGCTTGCCTGGCTGCAGCATTTACTCCTCTCCCAGTTTCTAGAGATGTTTGAGTTTGTGGGCCTTACAGGGTGGCCCTGGGCAGGCATGTCACTAGGTGACCCCTGGACAGGACAGCTCACTAGGTGACCCCCAGGCAGGCACCCTGGCCCAGCTCTGGTGTGGGCAGGTCTGGCCTCACTCAGGGCCATGTGGGTCCCCAGCTGCCCCCAACATAGTTCCCTAAGTCCTCCTCGGGCAGTCCTTAATAGATGCAGAGGGCACGGGCAGCCCCAGGATGAAGCACCCTTCCAGTGCTGCCCTGGAGTTGCCGACCCACCTGCCCCTCGCCTGTTTCCCCTGCAGCCCTAGCATCGGGCTCCTGGGCCCGCCTCACCTCCCTGCACTTAGGAAACGGGGATCTGGTCTGTGAGAAGAAAGCTGAAAACAAATCTCAGGTCAGAAAGCAAGACGCTTCCTTTGGCCTTCACCTTCTGGCCATCCTGAAGAGCCTGACCAGGGTCGGTGGGTCGCTAACCTCAGCTTCTTCAGGCTCCAAGGGACGAGTCGTTCCTCAGAGCCAGCTGTGACGGTAAACGGCACATCTCAGCTAAAGGTCTGCAGGACTCGGGCCTTCCAAGCCCTGGAATTGGACAAGGGCTGGGCCGCGTCTGCCTCTCTCTGCCCGTGTTCCCAGGTCTGCTACGCACTGCCCCGCCCCGCCCTGCCTCTGCCTTCTTGGTCCCACACCCGCGAGCTCACCCCGTACGCATATTCGCCAACTACTGAGCTCCTCTGCCTCAGAGCACGTGCTGAGTGGAGCCATGGGAGCTAGTTTTTGCGGAGCAAAATGGATTCGCATTTGTTCAAAGAAACCACCTGACCTCTATTAACTAGACATCCCAGAGACTGGGAAGAGGAGGGCGAGATCACAGAGGAGGGAGACCCAGAGGCATTTTCTGAGGCTGGGAAGCTTTTGGGGGGAACCCTTCTAGTCTGCCACACCTTTAACAACGCCGGCCGGGAGGAGTCGACCACTTCCTGGACCTTCTTCACGATCTCCTCCGGAGTCAGCGCTGAGAAACTGATGGGCAGGCGCTCTTCTTTTTCTTTTGGCTGAGGTCTGTCTGGCTTGCTGTTCTCTATTGCTCTCAAAAACTCAAGGGAATTGATGGAATTATCATGCCAGCTGATTCCCCAACTTGTCCCAAAAGAAAGAAAAGAATATGTTAAGTTAAAAACACCCTGTCACTTACTCATTCAACAAACAGTTGCTGAGCGCAGAGCAGAAAAGGGGAGATGAGTAACAGGAAGACGCTGTCCCCCGCCCTGTCGGTGTCCACGTGGCAGTTAGCTCTGGTCTTAGACAGGCGCGGGGACACTGCAATGTCAGCACGCAGGGTAAGGGCGAGGAGCGGTGAGGGTGCGGGTCTCTGTCAGCAGATGAGGGCACACACTGAAGACCTGAGACTTGAACGCAGGACAGCAGAGCTCACCGCCTTGGAGAGCAGAAGGCAGTAAGGGGAGCAGGGCCGAGGAACCTGGCCCCATGCCTGGGCAAATGGTGCTCGGGCAGGGCTGCGACGCCTGCGGGGCAGCTGATGGGGACACCGAGCAGAGTCGGAAATGGTCTGAAGTGGGATGGGGGGTGGAGAGCCAGTTAGGAAGCGCCTGTGGGCACTGAGGCCTTAACCAATGAGACCTGGACTTGGAAATGGCCATGGAATTGGAAAGAGAAGACCGTGAAAAGAAGAGAAAATGAACAAAGCACATGTTCAAATTGTTTCCAAAGGCATGGTGGCTAAGGTGCTGGACTCCCACATGGTCAACAGCAGTTCAAGTCCCAGCCCGCCTGGCAGCTTGCTTTCTCACTTTCTCTCTCTCTCTCTCTCCCCCCTCATTTCTCTCTGGTGAGCACATGTTCCCTGTAGCAAATTTTAAAAAATGATTATGATAAAATAAAAATGAAATAAATCATTCTTTAAGATAAAAATCATTTCCAAGAATGGCTGCAATGAAGCTGGCAGGCCGAAAGCAATCAGGAGACAGTGCAGCAGCACTACCCGGCCTGGCGTGTCCTCGGGCAGAGACACCTGAGCGAGTACTGCAGCCGGGACACCCAGGTAGAAACAGGCTCCCACGTGATCTCGCTCTGGCCCAGAAGAAATGGCTGACACCTTCAAACTCAGAAGGACTAGACTGTGAGATAAAATCCAAAACTTTTCGAAGTGCATAGAACATATTTATTAGGGGCCGGCAGGTAGCGTGGTGCTTGGAGGTGCTGGATTCCCATATGGCTGACTGTGGTTCAAGTCCTAGACCTGGTGGCTTGCTTTCTCACTTTCCCTTTCTCTCTCTCTCTGTCTGATCGAGCTGGAAAATAATAAGTGAGGTTAAATGAAATAATTCTTTTTTAAAAAGAACATAATTATTAAAGATATAAAACAATTCACAGTAAATTTCACATCGCTGTGACCTAAATACTCGGAGGACCACGCTATGGACTGCCGAAGCTTCAGGTGAGGTGCCCTTGTGACCGTGGAACAGCTTGCATGTCGCGAGGTACTGAGGCAAGCTCCCAGCACTCTGATGTCGCTGCGAAGACAAGAGGCTGAGCTCCTCCAGTCCACAGCTGCCGGGCAGCCCTGCACGCCGCCACGGGCCACCTCGCCTGCAGAGACGGAGACGGAGACAGAGACGGAGACGGAGACGCGGGGGAAGAGGACAATCAGCGCTACTTCATGGGTAAACTGCAGCACGGTACTGACATGTAGTAATAAAATCAAATGCATATGCTAATCTTCTCAGTAGTATTTAGCAAAGTCTATTTTGGATCTAGAAGAGAATAATCTACATATAATTACAAATAACAGAGATGTTTATCATCAAGAGGTCTTTGAGAAGAAACAAGCGGCTGAGCAGTGGATCTTATTAAGGTTTCAACGTGTAAGAAAGTTGATCACCCCCATTGAAAGGTGGACTACAGAAATTCCAGTCCTTTTGTTGCTGCTTATGGAAGTAGCAAGCCTAACCATGTCTCAACAAGACTCTCTTATAATCAGGTGCTTAATTATTTATCTGCTGCTATTTTCCCCATGATTTATTCATTGGCTGCGCAAGGATTCTGCTTCAGCTGGAAATAGATTCAGTGACAGCAAGAGGGCCTGTTTAAGGAGGAAGAGGACATAAAGACGCGTGAGGAAGAGACGGCCCTCCTTCCCTGCACACTGTCACGTACAGCTACAGCTGCTGGGCTTCTCAGAGCCCGAGCACAAGGAGAAAAACTTCTGCCTTGAATTCTGTGCTCTGACAATCACGCAGTTCATTCACCTTCTGTCCACCGTCTCCTAGGAAACTACTTCGGGAAGTGCTCCAGCAAAAGAAGATTGGCCTGGGGACCACAGGCCTGGACAAGGAAAATGGGGATGGAGGTGCCAGGGGAAGGAACTCCAGAGAATAGAGAGAGAGGACAGTGGGATGGGAAAACCTGAAGGCCGACACTGCTGAATTGCACCTGAGCCTGAGCCCTGTGCTCCTAGAAATAGCTATTGTTAAAGAAATCGCAGCCCCCCAGTCCCAGTCCCAGTCCCAGTCCCGGTCCCAGAAAGGATCACTGCAGAAAACCATTTCCCCTGCCGCTTGGAAATGACTCGCAGATGTCCCCAGGTTCACCTATGACAAACAGACACAGACACCCGCCCATCCCCGTCCTCGTAAATGCTTAGCTGAACTGTTTGTTCCCACTGACCAATTAGGACAAGACACCTGCATCTCAGCCTCTGTTCAGTTCAACTTTCCCCTCCTTCCCAGACCCCTGAACTTGGACCCACCTCAGCCTGCACAGGCATCAGAATGGGGAACTGCCTGGGAACGGCCCCTCGGACACGCTGGGCTGGCCCGGAGAGTCGTTTCCTGGTTACTCTACCCACTCAACTCACCCCGCCCTTGGCTCTTGCCAGCTGTGTTTACTCTTCCCTTTAAAGAGAAGTCGTCCCCTGCTCCACCTTTGAGATGCTTACTGAGTTGAGGACAAGGCTGCAGGACCCAGGCTAAGCTGAGCTACCTTTCCCGCAGCAAGAGCCAAGCATAGCTGCCCAAGATGGGTGCGCAAGGCGAGCTGAGGCGAAGCAGGCAGCGCTGGAGAGAGGAGCGCTCTGCCGTCGGAGCTCAGGGTCGCCGCTCATCCTTCCGACAAGGAGAAGGCCGACCAGACTGGACACAAGGGACTCTCCTGGGCCCATCAGGGGAGGGAGGTGGCCGGACAAAATGTCACCCTGAACCTGAAAGCCAGGTGCATCTGAGAATCACACCTCAGAGCCTTTGGCCCATGGGAACACTTCAACAGGAATCTTGACGCATTGGTGGAGGCCCAGTGTGGACTAGTGTAAGGGCCAGAAACTCCAGGGTCCCAGTCTTAGAGGACCCCCAGACTCCACTGACTACCCTCAGGAGCCCCATGGGCTCTCACGGTGAAGACGTCAGGCGCTCCCCCTCAGGCCTCTGGCAGGGAGAGGGCAGAGTGATCCTTGTGAAATATGCCCAGAGCCTTCTCCTTAGTGACTCTCCAGGGGAGAGACCCACCAGAGCCTTCTCCTTAGGGACTCTCAGGGGAGACACCCACCAGCTGGAGGAAGAGCACCTAGCCAACGTGGGCCCCCATATTCCTGTCTACTGACAGGAGAGAAAGAGAGTTAAGAAATGTGTCTGAAGTTGCAGCCCACAGCCTCAAGCCACACAAAGGCTGAGTCAGAACCATGCCCGACTGGACATGCTTTCTCCCTTATTCACTCTCTGTCTCTCTGCGCTGAGCACACCAGGGCAACCTGAATAAATAAGTAACGATAAAACCCACACTCTAGGACTGCTTCATCATGTCTGGCCTTCAGCAACGGCACCATAAACACAACGGCACCATAAACACAAGGCACGCTAGAAGCGAGCAACGACCAGTCTGAAGGACCCAGCAAGCATCCAAACCAGACTCAGAGATGACACATACTTAAGAACTACAAAATAGGGAGTTGGAAACAACTATGATTCATACGTAAAGAGTTTTCATGGAAAAGGTGGATCGCATGTAAGAGCAACTGGGCAGTATAAGCAGAGAAATGAAACCCTAAGAAAGAATCGAAAGGAAATGCTAAAGGGAAAACGGTGCAACAGGTAAAGAAGGACTTGGACGAGCTCGTCGGGACACTGGACGGGGTAAGGAAAGAATTAGCAACCTCGAAGTCTCTCGATGGAAACCTTTCGATCTGAAATGCAAATGGAAAAAAGAAAGCAGGAAAAGCAAGCAGGACAGAATATCCCAGAACTGTGGGACAATTTCAAAAAGTGTAGCAGATGCGCAATTAGAATAGCAAAAGAAAAGAGAAAGAAGTAGGGAAAAACTTGAATAGCCGAGACTTCAAAATTAATGACAGACATCAAACCACAGGTCCAGGAAGCTAAGAGGACACCAAGCAGGATAAATCTCCCCAAATCTATACCTAGACATATCACAGACAAACCCAGAAAACCAAAGACAAAGGGGAAATCTTGGAAGAAGCCAGACGGGAGGAAAAGATTTAACCATAGAGGTAACATGGAACAGCTTCTCATAAAGCATGCAAAAAAGAAAGCATACAGAAATATCCGAAGTGTTGAAAGAAAAATATCACCACCCTAGAATTCTGTATCCAGTGAAATCATTCTTCGAAGAGAAGAAAAATCATATGAGAGGACTTCAAAAAAAAACAAAAGAAGTTGAAGGACGAGCCTTTTTTGGTGTAAAACAATTCCGAGATCCACACCATCCATGTATACTTTTCATCGTACGCATTTTCTGTGAACTTGCAGAAAGCCCCTCTTGTAGGTCAGAAACTCAGACCTACACGAATGAGGAGTATCGGAGAAGAAATACATGAAGGCAACGTATGTTTTACTTTTCCTCTTCTTAGTTGCTCTGCAGACAGTTGCTTGTTTGAAGCAGCAATGGCTACGGCGCACTGGGTGACTACGGCGCACTGGGTGACTACGGCCTGCGGGAAGCCTGTGGCGCGGCCCTGCTGTAAGGTGCAGGAGGGAGGAGCTGGGAGCCCTCCTTACAGGCACCTGCACACCCATGCCGAGTTCCGGGTTGTTTGAAAGTGGACCGTGGCTATTTTAAACTTGCACTGCCAGCTCTAGAGCAACCGCAAACACAGTTTTGAAGGCGGCGAGGTGTGCTGTGTCCTTTTGCAGTGTGGGACTTCGACCCATTCACAGGGGAAGCACGTGAGCAGCGGACGCCCACGGCGTAGCGTGGCTCACACACACAGCCAGTTCTGCTCCTCCTCAAATCCCCTCTGAGATGACAGCACGGGCAGTTCCAAAGCGGCACAAACCTGGTTCCCTGCGGCACTGGCATGTTCGGGCCCCGCCCTGACCTACTGCATCAGGACTGTGAGGGGGGCCCCACAGCGGGTCTCCACAAGCCTCCAGGTGACACTGGCGCCTGCCGGGGTTGGAGGACCCCTGCTGTAAACCAAGGCTGAGAGAACGGGAAGGGGGAATGTTGCCTTGAACCAACAGAGGGCCTGTGGGTGAGCAGCTGCCAGACCCCACCAAGCCTGCAGGGCTCTGGAACTGGACACGGTACCTGCATTCCTTGCAGGTGTGAAGGGGTGTCGAAGTAGGGCTGGTTAAAAGTCTGTG